AAGTAGTCTGTTTCACCTCACCTCACATGCAATCCTGTGCTCTTTCATTCACACATCAGATTGATGATTAAACTTGACATTTAAGGCATTCTTAAAATATTTGTGAAGTAGGAGGACACTGCATGTGTAAAATCCTTGTCCATCTCGACCTTTACGAGCAAGAATATATTGGTACAGTTGTCTTGTCCTGATGCCAAATTATATTCCATGATTAAATGTGCATGAACCTTGTACACTCAGACAATAGTTTGCATGTTTCTTTCTACAGTGTACAAATTTGTGTACATGCATGTGTAGGACTGCATGTGAACCAAATGCCCAGTTGCCCATAGCAGGCTTGAATAAAATAGTTTTTTAATGATTGTATTCAAGTGTTATGTTAAGATATACTGTAGGCACATTTTTACACCATATTTTTTTCTTCTACATTGTACAAATTAAGTTTTACCAGCTGATGTACCTGTAAAGTAAATGGACAAAAACTGAGCAAAGAATATGTTCCTTACAAATTTCCAAATGTATCATTTTACCATTTACCAACTCATTCTAAGGCTGATGTACAAAATTGTACATGTATCAAATATTCCCTTTGAAGTAGAACCCTGTCATGCCAGCTCAAAACTCAATCCTTAGATTTATCTCTTTTTTTTCTTTATCCAGGAATTAACAAAAATGAACACTGTACATGTACATGTATATGGAAAATGTGCAACATTAATGTATTATTTTTATTACATGTTCATGCCTCATGGTGTATTGCAAAATAATGAGTGGTAATGCTTGGGGGAAGTTCTGTTTCGTTATAAATCTCGCCTCATGTCGTATTGGGCAACATAAGAATGATTTATCTGTGACTAGTGCATTATATCAAGTGAAGTCCTTTCAGTTGTGAACACTGAACTACATGTAAGATGTACTGTACAATGTACATCAGCCTTTTCACATACAGCTAAAATTCTATAAACATGATTAGTTTCAAGGGCTTCAAAGTAATCACCTGTACATACGACATCATTCACACACAGAAATTTTAATGCGATCGTTAATCGTTTTGTGATTAACTATCTGTACTGCTCGTAAAATGCGCAGTAGTGCCATTGCGCATTGAAGATCATGTCATATCAATCAAAGCGCACGCTCCATCCAGTTTAAACACGTCTGAAACATGTTTAAACACGAATAACCTTTCACACACAAAATGTCAAGCTCTCTAGATACGAACTTCGTATCTGCAGCCTGCTTTTAGGGGCGTATGAATCGCGATTTTGTATCCATCCCAACATCGTATAAACGATGTTCACACTAGGAAAATTTACTATAAACATGTTTAAAACTGTTGAGTTAAACAGGTTTATACTAATCATCTCTGGATACGATGAATTTTAGCTGTGTGTGAAAAGGCTGCATGTAGGTTGACACACGTGGTTGCAGAAAATAGTACCTTAAAGTGTTTAAACAAAAATTCTTCAGACAATATACTTTCCTTATTTCTTTTGAAAATGTTCACAAGGTGATGATATTGTTTTTCCTATATGCATGTACATGTATGTTTCAGTTTTCAGTTTCAAGTTTTATTTCTGCATTTTCCATAAACAATAACAAAAATAACAATGAATACATTTTAGCAATATAATGATAAGTAATACAAGTAGTAATTCACAAATAAATAAATATAAATAATCAGTAGTACAATTAATCGTATTTGAAAAGAAAGAAAAGGGGGAGAATGCAGAAGACCGATATCGTAAGCAGAGCTTGAAATGATACCGGCCTTACAAAAGGAGGAGAGGAGACAGGAAGAAAGAGCGGGTGAAGAGAGTGCTGTGCAAAGTGAAGAGTGCACTGCGCGAGCTCCTCAATCTATCAAATAATTTCCTTTTTATATACAAATAAACAATGAATATTTATATTAAAACAAAGTACATGTAGTATATTATGACCAGAATCTAATTTTCATACCTTATCAATAAATATTCTTTCATCTTCACTTTAAAGGAAACAAGTGTTGTACATAATTTTAATGTTATAAGCAAGGAGTTCCACACATCGAGTCCATTGTGTCTCATTGATTTTTGTCATGTGTACATGTTAAATAGGATTTGGGCTTAATATTATGGCATTATTATTACAACATTTGCAGGAACATTACTCTCACAGTCACTCTGCATAAAACTCCCTGTTTCTTTTAAGCAAAACTGTTGTGTATTCTTTGCCAATAGATATAAACTGATATGCTCCCATTGCACACAACTTTTGAATACAGTTCAGTTCAAACAGGGTTGACCATCGTTTTACTTTCAAGATGTGCAATTTGGGTCCTTTTTCAAAATAAATTTGTGCATATTAAAGATACTACAGTGTGTCCCTTTTGCAGCCAACCTCAAATTCTGTAGAACTTTGCAGGAATTGTGAATATTTCATGTGTCCTATCTGTGAAATTTAAACATTAGCAGTGTCCTAATATTCAAATTATGCAAGGAAACCCGTTTACTTGCTAGACTTCACTGTCAGACACTATTGTCAGTATTGAGTGACTGACTGACTGGCTTTTTCTTCTTCTTTGTTAATAACATACATAAAATGAGCTGTAAAGGAATTTTGTCTTCATCAATAACCCACTTCTTGTTATGGCCAAAATTAAACTGATTGATTCTCTGCGCAGCATAAAACATACGACCATGCGGTACAATGATCTGAAAATCAAGACTATTACTTATTGGCTCTATACAATGTAGCTCCTAAGTCGATTTGACAACTAATAGTCGTTATTTTCCCTCTTAAAGACATTTTAAAGCCCCATTTTTTTAAGGGGAGTTCTAAATTAGTATTATCTTTCAAATGCCATTGGAAAACATTTAATCTTTTCTTTTTTTGCCTGCAAAAGGGACATACCGTAATTAAGGGTGTATAAACCGCCCTCGTGTATTAAACCGCACCCCTCTTTTTCGCCCTTAAAAAAAAGGAAAAAAAAGAAAAAGCAAGCCAGGTCCGTGTTAAAAAACCCACGCGGGAAGGCCTTTCATTTAAGTGCGAGGTGCAGCTGAATGTGTAAGATCATTAATGTAAATTAAAAAAACAGTAGAGAACCTACATGTAGGATAGAACCTTGTGGTACGCTGTGTAATAGAAGAAAAATTGGAGGAATTATTATTATTATAAACTACATATTGAGATCTATCAGAAAGATTACTTTCAAACCAAGATGACAGAAAAATTTGAGTGTTGTTCTAGTTTCCGAGTGGTGAGTCAACACACCGATTATTGAGCTGTGAGACATTGCCAGGCATAGTGCCAGGTGGAGGGGCATAAATCAAAACTTTAATTTTGTGTGTGTGTGTGTGTAACGTGTATAAACCGCACTCCCGACTTTGAATTTAAAAAAAAAAAATTTAATACACCGTTAATTACGGTAGTACCCTTAATATACCGGAAGAGATATTTGACGGTTTGAAATTGAGGGAATTTGTCTACATGTGTTTAGAGATTTGAAAGCATTTCCACATCTTACTAAATTGTCCATGTGCTCTGTATTAATTAGATTTAGACAATTCATTATTGAGTATTGCAATATGTGATACAAATGTACTGTCGTATCACTGCAGAGATGGCAGAATTGAAGGGGGAAAAATGGTAGGGTTATAAACTGGGTATGGATTCTGTTTGTGAAGAGATGAGAATGGCATGGTGTCAATATGACCATCAGTTTATGGATACCCATTGTAATCTCATATGGAATTACAAACCATTGTTGGATATATGCATTGTGCAAATATCTCACCACAATGAGGTTAATCTACCAATTTGTTTTCCTCAATACATGTTAGTACTGTGTAGACTACCCTACTAGTTCTTACTGAGCAGTGAGCAAGGTCTCTCCCACTGAATATTTAACAGGGTTCCATCTTGAAACATAAAGGCAAACTGTCAGTTAACAGGCCTACATTGAGGATGTACATGTACATGTAACTCAGAATTCTAAACTTGTATCTTACTTTAAAGGTAATGCGAAGTATTCAGAAATTGGATGGATAGTAATTCTTAAAAATATTGATATATTTGGATGCCCCTGTGGATGTATTATAAGCACTAGAAAACTTAGCCCCTAAAACAATTCTGCTTTTGAGAAATTGAAGAATAACAAATTTAATGGTGCTCCCGGTAAATTTCAAATATTTCAAATAGCGCCTTAGACAATTCCATGGTATCTGCGACCATGAAAATCTCAAAATATGCAGTTCTGATATATGATTTCCAAATGGGAATAGCAAATCGGTCGATTGTAGTCAAGAAATATTGTTTCAAAGCTAAAGTAATATCAGTCTTGAGAGGGAGCTAAACAGCATATTGAGTTTACTATTTACAATTTCATCACTTTGGACTTGATCTCAACTGCGACAACGATCATTGAATATTGTAAAATCACTATGCTTCCAATATGTTCATTTGAACCAAATTCATGACCCCATACCAAAACTTTGTATTACCTTTAATAGGAGAGTTACATGTACATGTGTAGGTTGTAAATCACATTGTACAGTGTAACATTTGAGCAATATGAAATTCATTAGAAGGGAACTTCACCCTGATATTTTGTTGGTTTTTATAGAGCAGAAAAACATGACAACAAGTCAGTGATTGATCTCACCTTCAAAAACTCATAACCTTTTTTTTTTTTTTTTAATCGTTTTATGCCTAAACTTTCACTGACCTGTTTCTCTCATTTTCTTCTATTAAAACCAACTTGATATCAGGGTGATCTTCCCCTTTAATTTATTTCTTATAATTCCTTTAAAACATTGTTTTGAATATCAGAATAGAATTTGATAGACTTAGGGAGGTCTTGCATTTAATATGCAGTGAATATTGATGAGCAACTGCAATGAAAATGAAATAGATTATTATTATTTTTTTTTGGGGGGGGGGGGAAGTTTCTTTTGCAGATGTATATTCACCAGGGAACAATATATGGTTCTCAACTTTTCATCATAAAAATGTGTGACTTTGGATGTGTAGTACGTATTCCGTACATGTACTGTATGCCCTAGATAAATCAAGTATGTACACATGTATGGCAGTGCTTGATAGTGATGATAGTCTTTTAGACTCATTTACTCCTGCTCCTAACAAAGGCAAGTTCAGGTTCACCAGTGTTGAGAAATTAAGCCAAGTTTGCCTATCACTTCCTACCCACCAGCAAGCTTCTTTTAAAGTCACCCCACTCCCGAGAGACACTCTCGAGGGCATTTACAATTTGCTAGTGTATGTTTAGTGCATGCTCCCTTTCACACACTCAATTGCGTTTCCACAATGGAGGGACGTGTGTAGATGACATACATGTACAACTGGGACGAGGCGCTCTGAACAGACGAACGAACGGAAGATGCTTTGATATCATAAGAGCTAGCCACCGTTGACGAGAGCACAAGCACATGTGATATTGTTCGTCTTCAGAGTGTTGAGTGCTGGTCACACTTTTTGATGCCATAAACAGATCTGCATATTTGTGGACTACGCCAGAAGAAGAGGAGGGAGGTCAACTTTATGGATCGTTAGAATCTCATGGCTAATGCTATAATTCTCTTTAGTGTTCATATTGCTCATCATTGACTTTTGGGAAGAGTTGTAGTGTATATTGTTGACCGAGCATGGATCCAGCAGAGGTAGGCAACGATTGAATCATTGAACATGACAACTTTCTTTGTATTTAATGACTGCACGCAGTAGTATGTTGCCTGAACATGAACCTGAATATGGTGTTTTGCCATTGGAATATGAACATTTTTGTGTGCTTTCGTTGTATTGTTGCTATTTCAGAAGATTGTGTGTTCTGTTTGATGATAAAAAAAAGCATTTCCATTCACCGATGTATAAATAGCATGGTTTTGGTTTTCATATCCTGAAACCATATACATGTAGGCAGTGCCAGTAAGAGGCCTATCGTAGACATACACGTGTTGTTGTTGTTGACAGGCCTCTTATTGACATGTATGCCCACAGAAGAACAAATTGACCGTTGGCATAGTTTTCCAATAGCTGCGTTCGCACTACAAGCAATCATTTTTTTTTTCTCACATTCAAATGTTTTGTCAGAAGTCTCTCAGTAACACCCATAGACGGGCAAAAACCCAAATAGAAAATACCTACCTACATGTGTATGGACTGTTTAGTTTTGAAATGCTGGAAGAAACTTCACTGAATTTTGCAGTGAATCGTTCCAGTTTTGGGTCACATGATTTTCCTCACTTCCATGCTAATGCATGCAGGGCAGGTACAAGTGGCGCATTCGAAAAAATCACACACCCAAAAAGGATTATACGTATTTTATCGCACACCATTGGTCACCAACGGTTTCTTATGGGTTTTTCCAGTAGTGTAAATGGCAGTAAAAAAAAAAACATTGTTTTTTCAAATTGCTTTTTGGGCTGTGTAAATGAACATCATGTCAACATTTCAACATAACATTTTCGTTAAAATAAGTTATTTATGTTTTAGGAATTAGGGGGTGTTGGGGTGCTCACATGTTTGAGAAGGTTCAGTAGGGGTCTGATCTTTCTCAAGCTGCTCTCAATCTTGTGGTGCTTCTTTATAATCTCTTTAAAATCTCTTTAAAATCAAGAACATTATGCATCAACAAGCCAATATGGAAATTCAGTGCCAAAACATCTGTACAAGTATACTTGCATGATTTTTACTTGGAGGAGGTTATGAACACAAAATCTATTTGTATGCTTATTCTATGTACATGTTCCTAATGTACATAAAAAAGTACACATACATGTACCTACAATTTATTTCAGTCCTTTCCAAATGAAATTAATCTATTTACCTAGTAAAAAGGGTATTTTGTGCTTGAGGCTCATGCCAATACAAATTTGGTTGCCCATCCAACTGTCAATTAAAGGTATTACAAAGTTTGGGGAAATTTTGAAAAATGGGTGGATAGTGATTCTTTACAATTTTGATATATTTGGATGCCTCAGGGGATGAATTAAAAGGACTAGAAATTTTAGCCCCTAAAACACTTCTGCTTTCGAGAAAAATTGAATATAAAGATTTACCGGTGCTCCCGGTAAATTTTGAAATATTTCAAATGGCTCCTACGGCCGTACAATGGTAGCTGCGACCATGAAAATCTCAGAATATGTAGTTGTGGTATATAATTTCCGAACGGGAATAGCTAATCGGTCGATTTTAGTCAAGAAACATTGTTTTACAGCTTAATGAATATTTGACCTTGAGAGGGAGCTATACAACATAAAGTGTTTATTATTTACAATTTCATAACTTTAGAGTCGATTTCGACCGCGACAACGATCAGTGAATATTGTAGGATCGCATATGCTTCCAATATGTTCATTTGAACCAAATTCACGACCCCATACCAACACTTTGTATCACCTTTAATGCATACATGTACATGTATAATGTACATTGTACGTGTAAGACTGCATTGGTAGGGCTATCCATGTGGTGAAGAAACTGATGAGGCTCGGTTCAGTCATGTTGAAGGCTTCATATATTTTGGAGCATTATCACACAATAACAACATTTGTGTAAATTAACACATACTCTAATTGTCTTATACAGTACGGAAAGGGGGTGGACAGTCCCCCTGTCCACACACAACATTTTCCGTGATTAGGCGTGATTAGTTATACCGTTTCGCGATAGTTATACAGTTTCGCGATAGTTTTACAATGAAATTGTGTGTGTGGACGCTCACTAACGATACGTCGTATAACGAAACGAAGGTTTGGGCATTGTTTCGAACTAGAACTCAATAAAGAATCACGCCTAATCACGCCTATTTCACGGAAGGTGTTGTGTGTGGACGTAACTAGTGTAACTAGTGTAACTAACTGGGCGGGGCTTAACGTGACCTCCAGCGAAAGGAGACCAGACCTCTCATTTCCGCTTCCATTTCATGACCGCAGTAGCAAACTGCGCACCTATACGACATTTCGCTGTAGAGTTTCAGGATTACTTTCTTCTGTGTGTGGACATCCTGGAATTTTAAGATGATTATTTATATGACGTTTCTTGTGTGTGGACACTGAAATTTATACGATGATTCTTTATACGGCGTTGCGTTATAGAGTTTCGGGATAAATTGTTTTGTGTGTAGACACGCTGTTAAATACATGTAGATGTGTAATATGATCCATGTATCAGCACATTTATGGTTGGGGGAGAGGCTGTAAGATAATTATCGAGGAACAAAAACAGATGCCAAGTTGTACTTGTAGTCTTAGGGAGGAAATTAATTGGGCACATCATATTGGCACAGCTAGTGTACATGTAGTTTGTACATGTGTGTACAACAATGTAAATGCTCATGAAAGATGAGGGGGAAAGGTGATCATTTCTCTTTTAACACGTTGGACACGTTGGACAAGTTCTGTAATTTAAACTTTATTTGTAGGGTTATTATGAAATGTGTACACAGCACAATGAAAAACATTCATTTTCAGCTGAAAATGTTACCGGTAATTGGTATGTTGCCACAGGGAATGGTTAAGACTTTGATCCTATGAACATTGTGGTTAAACAAAATATATATTGATTACAGAGTTGATGACGATATGCAGACTATACATGTATATAAAGTACATGTACATGTACATGTATTTTTTATAGGAATTTGTGTCAATTAACACAAAAATGAAGTTGTTGAAAATGCAGGAAACGATTTAGAATTGCACTTCCTGGGGAAATTGTCAATAAATTAACACATATTCACTGTGCACCATACTGTGTAGTTAAGATTGCCGGGAAGATCCTGTGTGCACGACACATTGGGTGCGGGGACCATACTAGCGCTGTACATCCATGCTGGCACAAATGCTTCATCTTATTCGTACAGTTAGAAAATTTCGCACAATTACACTGTACATACTGTACAGATACTTTGTGTCTATCAGACAATGTGGACACAGATGACAACATACATTTTTTTGTAAGTTGTAAAATTAATCAATACTACATATACTTTACATGTAAAATTCATGAAAATGGAACCCTCACGTATGTGCTTAAGTACATATGAAATACATGAAAATCTATAAAAAGGAGTAGTTTTATTAGAATTTAACAAACTCAATAGATATTTCAATAACTACAGTGTTTGGCAAAGTTCAATTTAACTCCACCTTTTTTATCCTTGATGCATAAAACAAAGGACATGTCAAAACATACATTCACACCTTTAGTCACATCCACCAAAACATATGGGCACCGTGCTTTCCAGTATGCCATACCAGAACTATGGAACAATCTTCCAGAGTCTCTAAAACATTGTCCTTCACTACATCAGTTTAAATCCGACTTAAAAACATATCTGTTTCGATCATGCCAGTCTTAAATTTAAATTTATATAGTAAACATGTGAATTTTGTAATTGATTTGATAATTGTAATTGCTAAACGGTGAAAGCTCAATATTCTTCATGTCTTTTCTCTCTTCTCTCTCTCTCTCTCTCGTATCTAAGCGCAGAGAGACAATTTTGTAATATGCACTATATAAGAATTGAACATTATTATTATTATTATTATAACAAAAGACAGGCAGAATTTCATTTTAAAAACGAAGTCCACCCTCAAAGAAAAGTAGAGACAAAGACTAGTGACAGTTTGTGGAACATTTTTATAACAAATAAGAAATTAATGAAAATTTGTAGTCAATCACATGCAAATTGGTTACTCTCTAATATTTCTTTTGAACACATCCCATATTTTCTCTTTACCCCAAATTCATAATTTCTGTATTTTCTGAAGAAAATGTTGAATTAGACATGAGCCTTACATGTAGATAAAATCATTACATACAAATATAGACTGCTTTTAGGAGCATAGTTTAGAACTATTGAAAGATGATCTTGAAACTGTGACTCAGGGCATATCCTGTGCAGTCTCAAGATCACAGAGGAGCTACATGATGTATGCCGGTAGTTAGTTTTGACCGCAACACGAAAGATAAGCAGTCAATAAATTTGCTTTTAGTACAAAAAGATGTTTTGACAAGATATAATGCCTGTCAAAATAGATTTATTTGTAGGGAAACTGATTAATCTTAGAGTAATGTGTGTGTCTCACAATCTCACTGCACGTACATGTGTACATGTATCCATTATTTCCATTGTTTACTTCATGGCCATCAGCTATCTATTGTGTCCTTACATGGTACGTGCAAGTAGAACTACATGTAAGCCTGGTCAATATCTTTTGCTGTACTGCCCAGCAGTGACTTTCATGATTGCAGTTTTGACCAATGAGAGCCATAAAATCTTGATGTGCAATACTGTATATGCTTTTAAACAACTCTTTACAGAGCTACACTTATTTCTTCATCAACAACTAAGAAAATGAAAATGAACTAATGAAAGTAAAATGGAACAGGTTCCCTGAAGGTTGAATACATGTACTGCACAGAGTTGCCAATTTGCATTTGACCTATTATAACTTTGTTTTCTACAATTTCGACAATTTACATGTAAAATGTAATGTCAGGGAGTATGTCCCATAACTTAAAGGGATAGTTGAGTTCTGTTGCAAAGGGCGCTACACAAAATAATTTTTTTGTGAGATAATGAAAAACTGAGTGCCAAATTTGAAAGAACATACAATTTAAATGACAAAATCATCTTTGTTTGATAAAAATCGGT